GAAAAAGTCTATAATATATTTTGAATTCATTCGAAACCATTAGTATCGAATTATAAACCTATTTTTACTGAAATAATACTGTTTTTTTTACAATTATGTTCTATTTACGTGTCGTAACACAACGTCAAATTAGCAGCGAGTGCTCGAGATTTATACGAACAGATGTTAATCTATTTTCAAAATTTAAAAGGACCATTGTAGATGGCGTAACAAGTCAATATTTAAGCAGTATGGAACCCTATATGACATTAATTTAATCACAGAAAAAGTCTATAATATATTTTGAATACATTCGAAACCATTAATATCTGATTATAGACCAATTTTTACTGAAATAATACTGTTTTTTACAACTATGTTCTATTTACTTGTCGTAACACAACGTCAAATTAGCAGGGAGTGCTCAAGATTTATACGAACAGATGTTAATCCACTTACAAAATTTGAAAGGACCATTGTAGATGGCGTAACAAGTCAATATTTAAGCAGTATGCAACCCTATATAACATTAATGTAATCACATAAAAAGTCTATAATATATTTTGAATTCATTCGAAACCATTAGTATCGGATTATAGACCTATTTTTACTGAAATAATATTGTTTTTATACAATTATGTTCTATTTACGTGTCGTAACACAACGTTAAATTAGCAGCGAGTGCTCGAGATTTATACAAACAGATGTTAATCCAATTTCAAAATTTGAAAGGACCATTGTAGATGGCGTAACAAGTAAATATTTAAGCAGTATGCAACCCTATATGATAATAATTAATATTTTTTACTGAAATACGATTTTTTTTGGATATATTTCACTGCATTTCTTTATAATAACATTACTTCTTATTTTTCCTTCCTCCGAAATACATTTGTCACCATTTTGTCAGATAACATGACCTGAAAAGTAGATATTTGTAACTTTCCATTTTTTTCATGCTTCTGTTTCACTTTTGATATAATCCATTATAAACTCAGACACCTTTGATTATAGTATAAAGCAGTGTCTTTCAAACAGTGAGAGATTGGACATTTTTTTAAATCATATTTCATTTATATTTGGTGTGTGTCACAAAACAAAATCTTTTCACCCAGTTAAAAGTTTTACAGACACTGGTATAAAGTTTCAAAACAATTATTGCACGAAATTCATTAGTTAAATTAGAAGTAAATGCTGAATACAAATTATATTTTCAAATTTTAATAATTAGAGTTTTTGATATTATAGATCAACATTTAACATGTCGGCTTTAAAAAATAAAGTTTTCGTTTGATTTACTTCAGAGTCGCAAGTCTCAAAGAACATGTGGCTCGTTAGCAGCAGGTTGATGACTTTTTATAAATATTAAAGAAATATGCAACCATTTATGAACATAATTTAACAACATAAACTATTAGTTTTTTTGTTTTTGTTCAATTCGTTTTGCACATATTTGTTTTATTAGCTATTTCAAACAGTTAATAACTGTTGAATGCGTACGCAAATGACCTTTATACAAGCTCTCGAATACTTGTTCATTGTTCTTATTTGATTAACATCTTCAGTTACTGATTATCAACTGACAAGCGGATCTTGTAGTCTGCTGTCTTCGACTGGTTATACCAAATTAGCATTAATCTAGGATGCGCAAAGCGAGCTCTTACTATGTATATCAATTGAATTCCTTAATAACTAAATAGATTTAAAATAAATGGATTAACTGAAGTCATAGTACATATTCTTGCGTGTATACGTTGCACATCTTATTACATTATTTAACTTATGTCATTATATTAGTTGGGAGTAATATTTCCAAATATGTTTCGGCACATTTGTTCCATGTTCTATATAAAGTGGAACCTCGCTTAACGAGCAAATTGTAAGAGAAATGACTCGCTTAACGAGCGACGTTTCGCATAACGAGTGACGATGAGAAGTCACGGATTACACGCCTTCTACATCATTTGTAAAACTTGTGTACACACATATTATGTGTATTTTTTGAATATATTAACCATCTTCGCTGTCCAAGCCTCTGACTTGATACAAGAAATTTAAACAAATAAAAACTCACTTCACCGTGTGTGAATTGGAAAACGGTTCCTAGTGTTAGTGGTCATTCCAGTTGCATCTTATTGTTGTTTGTGATCACAAAATTTCCAAACTTATGCTTAGACATGTTGTTCCAGAAATTTTGGAACGGATTAAACTCGTTAAGCGAGGTTCCACTATATAGTGAAAGCCACAAATATTAATTTGAATAGTTCTTTTTTGGTATTTCTTTTTAAAGATCAAAATTTCACAGTTCAATGTCTTTATTCGTATATTGTTATTTATAACATCATTTTAAATATTTCTAAACTTTCTTGTGTTTGTCTTGACTTCTCGTGATATTGAAGAATTAAAAAAAAGAAATTGTAGTCATATAGTAATGTATACAACTCTCCTAGCATTTAGTATATATACTTATCTGAAGAAATGGTAAAATGTGTAGTTGTAACATGGTGAACAAAGTGATTTTATTTTTCATATTCTTGTTTTGTACCATCAATGTAAGTTTTAGATTAGACATGTTCAATAATTTGGTTTTCATAAATGATTAGATTTATGCCATTAATCAACATGCATGTAGCAAGTAAAAACATTCAATTTGGTTACGCGATATGGAATTGTGTATGATAGTAATTTGTATGTATGTAATGATCAAAATGAAACACATTTGAGTCTTGTTTTTATAATATCTATATACAATCTAATCAATTTAATATCATTGATAGTATTGACATACTTTTAATTAAAATAATCATATAACAAATTTCAGAAAACGAAAATGGTTACGCTACTAAAATAAGATTATACAATAAACTGCAATTGATCTTTGAATTTTTTCTTCATTTTCGATGGTGTATGGATGCATGCATGCTCGATTCAAATACTGATGTTGACACAACAATTCCGTTTTGTTAAATAACTTAAGTAAATAAAAACAAACAAAAAATAATATTAATTAATTAATTTAAACAATCAATTTATTGTGTTCATTTCTCGGCAGCCGCGAGCTTCTTCTTCAAAGACTCTGGCATCTCTGGTGGTGGTGGGCGTGGCATCTTGGTGGCTACCTGCAATGCGAAAGGAACAAAGCATTAAGACATGTCATGATCGTATTGATTTTCTTGGTTGTATAACGTGTCTGGATGTTTCCAACTATGGGAAATTGTTTAAGACGTTATTTGGTGGCGATAATTACCTTGAATGCATCGTAGATGAACCATTGGAGGGCGGTAAGAGTACCAATCATGACTATCCTAGGTCCAAGACCCTTCCAGAGACCGGCCCATCCCAATTCCTTGGCAGCCTCGGCGGCGCTGACTCCCTTCTTCTGGTTCAACTTGGATACAACGGTATCAGCTGGATGGGAAACGATGGCGCAGAAGACACCAGCGATGTAACCAGCGGCGAATGTAACAATCAACTGTTCGCCCTTGCTGCAGTCAGCACGTGGTTTCGGTACAACGTAGTGGTACAGCAGCTCGACGGTACGCTCGAAGCAGGCGAACTTCATCATGGTGTATGGGATTTGCCTCATCCACAATGGGACAAGGGATTTGTAGAAACCGTTCAAGCCTTCCTCCTTGTAGATCTTGGGCATGGCTTCGCGCAGGGTGTTGGCGAATCCGGGGGTGGTCTGGATCTTGACCTTGCAGGATTCCATCGGGGACAGGGCGATGTCGGCGAAGAATTCGGCGGTGGCAGAGGAAGCCAAGTACAGGGAGGTACGGTACAGGTAGGCGTTCTCGTCACCGATGACGCCGGTGTAGAATACTTTGAATACTTCATAGAGACCGAACTTGCAGAGACCTTGGGCGGAGTAACCGAAGAAGGTTGGGGCCCAACCCTTGGCGAGACCACGAGCACCTTCCTCAGCTACGGACACCTTGAAGCCATTGATGACGCCCTTGTACTTGTCTGGGTCAACTTGGATACGGCACTTGACCAAGTCCAATGGTACAACCATAGTATGGGTGATACCACAAGACAAGATACCTGCAGACAACAAAACATTATTATAGTAGTTATGATACACAATAAAATACAATCAATTACCTCCAAGACCACAGAGGGCAAAGTATTTTTTAGAAGCAAATTCACAACTCTCTCCTGGCTTCACTGCAGCAGCAGCAATGCTTCTTCCAGAAACCAATTGGTTGGGTTGCTCAGAAGGCTGGCATATAGCCTTAGTGATGAATGATGGAAGCATCTTGTTTTTATTTTCCTTGCCTAAATTAACTAAGAAAAAAATACTTCTTTACTACATATGTTACATCACTGACAGATGTCAAAAGTCTTAATAATTACAAAACATTAGTACATATATATATTTGACTGTAGCTAATTCCAAGAAATAGATATTTTTAGGTTATGTGAATGACCTGAGATACGGAAAAATTAATTATTAGCATAGATTAGCACTCGCGTAAAGTGAGTAAGCAACGATTACAAAGTTCATTAATTAGCAGACGTAGATAAATTTGTTTTGTGCTAAATCGGCAGAAAAAATAGTGATAAATGACATTCCTCGTCACGTGCTTGTCGTTAGATAACGGCAAATCGATTTCTGCTGTTACATAACCAAGTCTGAAGTCTTACGTGGAAAAAGAGATTTCCGTCTGTTTGTCAAATAATCTCTTATCAATTAGCAAGCATGTGGCTAAAATCGTTAATTAATTGTTTAAATTAATGCCGATTTGCTTTTTTTTTTCAATCAATTTTAAACTTCTTAAAATATCTCTAGTTTAAGTTCACAGCCTACTCTGACTGATTTAGACTGTGCTTCCCATTCATTGCAAGATTGATCTAATTGTCTTACATAAGTTTCTGCTATAATGGCACAAGGGCACTATGTCAATGCCTATGCTAAATATAAGTTATTGCAAGGATAATGCATATTCTTATATGAATTATATAAGAATTTTTGATATTCTACCCTTTTTATAAAAAAAAATATGTATAAGGATCAGATAGATTTGCAGATGTTCGGAAGAAAGGTGGTTGGTACATACCAGAATAAAATGGCCGCCAAGGAATCTGAGTGTGTCTGACTGTACGGAACGGTGGCCGTATCACAACTGCTTTTGCGCCAACTAACTGTGCGCGTTCCGGGCCAAAAAATTATAAAATTTGAGTCACATGAAAACTTGCGCACAGGACGAAGGAATCAATAAAATGTACGGTAAAAGTGCGCGAAAATTACTCATGTTCAAAACTGTGAATCTTGACAAAACTGCTTAAGTTTGCTTCCAGGTGCAACATATTCTTAGGAACAGCTGGTTCTATTGAAAATGTCCATTTTTTGTGTCGTGGCGACTAGTACAATATAACATATCAACTACAATTGTGATTTAACACTATATTGATTGATTTCTATTAAAAATCATACAATGAAGCATTTCCATTCAAAAATATAAAATAATATATTTTAATACTATTGACAACATAATAGTTACATAGCCTACTACGAAAATAACATATCTATTTTAGTTCTATGTCAATAAGTGATGTATTTTCTAGAAGGCTATCAACCTTGTTTATATCATTTTAGAAAATTGTTTTTAGGTAAATTTGGTTATATATCCTTCCACAAGGATCTAACGTAGATCCACTACTTTTATAGATTATTAATAAAAAAATATATTTTAGTTGCTTTTAAAAATGTTACTGTTCTTTGAAGACCCAATCCCCAATCGTTGCAACTCGATTTGAATTTTAATAAGAGTATATATTAGAGAGAGGAATTTTAGTATATTCAGTTTTAATATAAAGTCTATGAAGTTATTGTTACTAATTAATAGATTACTAATATCTAGAATTTCAATTTAAGTTTTTATTGATTGAAGATTGATGGAAGAATCGGATTAAATTTAAAAAAAAAGTATGTTTGGTTGCCTAAATTAAAAGTATTTCAAATAGGATCTTATATACATTGTGTACAATTGTGGTGTTGCTGTTCATATTCAAAGAATATATTATAAAATTAATTAAGTGTTTGCGGTTTATTCCATATTTACTTTGTCTATTTGTTTGCAATCACGAGTCAATGAAAATAGTTGGATATGTTTGTTCTCTTGCGCTAATACTACTAATCAAAAGATGGAATGTTCTGAAATTATAGTAGTCTACAGAAGGTTTTAATTTGGAGCAATAATTAATCATTTATAAATACATATATTTGTGAAAACTTAAATAAGTATAAAAGTTTTGATATGAGGTGAAAAGAAGTGTTCGATTTGTGCATCTTAAAAAATTACAAATAATTAGATTAAGGGCGTAAACCTCCCCAATTTTCATTTATTTATTTTTTCATTTTTGGGTTAGGGATACTTTCCACGTTAGACACTGGATTTAAGTATAAGAAATAATGTCGATGTTGTTAGAAAGAAGAAAAAAACAAAGAATTAAGAGTACAAAACTATCTTTTACTTAAATAATTCCACTAATATTTATATTATGAATATACAAACAAAGCTAATCTACGCAATTCCATGTACAAATATGTAATTTACAAATAAGATATAATTGTCATATAATCAATTTTGTCCAAATTTGGAATGCAAATAAATCTTATTAACTATAGGAACATTCAATTGGTACAGAATAATTGACTGGAATAAACCATGTGCATCACTTATTTAATCACAGTGAATTACAATTACGTTAATAACTAAGAACAAAAAGTGAACAATGTATTTAAATATTTATACAATAAAAAAAAACTTAACAATTGCTTATTACAGTTTTAAGGTATAATATTTCAGTCAAAATTCTTTGATTCATTGACGGCCGCTACAATCCAATTGAAGAATTGCGTCACATCGCTGAAGACGAAATATTGGAAGAAATCACAGTTCCTATCCTTGGCCACGGACATCGAAACTATCCCGCGGATCGTCCATTTGTCGTTCCGTTTCATTATAAAACCGCCACCGCTGTCTCCGTTGCAAGGACCGGAACCATTTCTGAAACCTGCAGACATTTTTTTTTTAAATTCAAATATATCTATAATTTTTTCATTTATTGGTTATGCCTTTCATGCCTATTGGGACAGTATGTCCAAATAACAATGTTTATTGGGACAATAGATTCGAGATACGATATCTGTTGGGACATAATGTCCCAATTACAATGTCTATTGGGACAATAGATCTCAGATACTATATCTGTTGGGACAATATGTTCCAATTACAATGTCTATTGAGACAATAGATCCCAGATACGATGTCTGTTGGGACATAATGTCCAATTACAATGTCTATTGGGACAATAGATCCCAGATACGATATCTGTTGGGACAATAGTTCCAATTACAATGTCTATTGGGACAATAGATCCCAGATACGATGTCTGTTGGGACATAATGTCCCATTACAATGTAACTAATATATCTCAGATGCGATGTCTGTCGGGACAATATGTCCAATTACAATTCTATTGGGACAATAGATCCTAGATACTATATCTGTTGGGACATAATGTCCCAATTACATGTCTATTGGGACAATATATCTCAGATGCGATGTCTGTCGGGACAATATGTTCCAATTAAATGTCTATTGGGACAATAGATCCTAGATACGATATATGTTGGGACATAATGTCACAATTACAATGTTTATTGGGACAATAGATCCCAGATACGATGTCTCTTGGGACATAATATCCCAATAAAAACAAGATACTTGGCCATTTTTTAATTTTCTACAAATATTACGTCCCTAAAACATTTATATTTAATAATTTCTATTGACTTGATTAAGTAACCGCAGCATTTTTATTGCAAATTTATAAACGCGCAAATCGGTCCGACAACCGGTCCGTTACCAAGGTAAAAGGTCATTAAACAACGTTATTTTTAATTACAAAATTGTAAATGTAATACATTTAATGTCTAATTGATTAATTAATCAGAGCCATTGATAATTTTTATCTTGTTAGAATATTTATTTCTTGCTTTGATGAATAACAGCCTGGAAGTGTTTTTGAAAAGAGAGATGGATTTAGTAAACAATGTGCATTGACAGGTAATTAAAAATGTGCAAAATCAATACAATCTTCAAATATTTGTTTACTTTCAAGTTGGCTCTGTTTTTCGTGGATCAACATTTAAAAATAACAAACTCAAGATTTTTATTACTTGTTCATCCACGGTTTTAAGTTAATTTTAACGATGTTTGTGGAATCAGGTTTAATTGATTTACCTGCACAGAAAGTTCTCTTCGATGTGATACTCGTATAAACAAGATGAGATCTTAGACAGTCCTCCTGGGAGACGATGGGCAATCTGATTTGTTTGGGTTCCGGTGTGATCAAGTTGTTGAGTTCGTCTTTGCCCCATCCGACCACAGTTCCTAACTGTCCGACAACATCGTCCAAGACGTACCTTCCCGACCAGAGACAGATAGGCCTAATGATTTTCGTGAAGTCGACGGCCTCGCTCATCGTGACCAAAGCTATATCCCCGTCCGAGGATTCGGGCCTGTAATCCGGATGTACGGCGATTCCTGAAACGCCGACGGTCTTCGATCCGCTCATCTGGGTCCACTGTTGAATGTTGTGCGAACCCAAGCGAAGAAACACCTTTTCGAAACGGTGCACTTTATTTGAAATCTTCATGCAATGCGCGGCTAATGAAACAAACAAAAAAGTATATATTTTTTTTGTTTTCATCCAGTTTGTTTGTTTTGAATAGATGTTCTTGGAATACCTGTGAGCACGTGCGTTCTTGATATTAGGTTGCCGCCGCAAAGAAACTCCGGACCTAAATTCCTGACCATGAAAATCGCAACGAGCCACGGAAATTGGCCTTTAGCTACGCTCTCGCCTTTCGCTATGAGCTGGTTGGTCACCAGGCTGACACCGCAGGATTCGTCATTCATTCCCAGCGTCCGCCAATCTATATCACCAGAAGATTTCGCCTCATCCGGAAACTGGTTCCGGCTCGGATTATTGAAAAAGTTACCTAGAATTCGATCAGAAAAAAAATATAAATTATATCACCCAATTAAAATGTAAAAAAAAAGAAGTATTGATGATTAATAATGACCTTGGTATATTTTTCTCGGGTCCTTGGGAAGTACCGGTTGGAAATCGATTGCCGGAATTGGGACTTTGTTGGGTGGATTGGTGGTGTCCACTCGGTTTTCCGGAGTGACGGGTTCCTCGCCTCCTCTGAGACCTTTGCTATAATTAACAGTTAGCTTATGTTGCAGGTTGATGGTGGTCAACACTTGTACAGTCTTCACTGAAAATTTCATACGTTAATTATAGATATTAAGTCATTACGTTGGAGGACTTACGACTGATGGCGGGACCTGAGCAAACCATTTTCCCATTAACAACGATCTTCGTTACTCTGGGTGGGGTGTTTATCCAATATGGAAAGTTCAGTATGTAATTGATGGGTCTTCTGTGCATCACATCGTCAATAGTTTGTTCCCTCGTTGACGCCAACTCCAAATGTCCATTGTATCCCTTTAGAATTTGTATTATTCAGTTATTTTGTAATTTTACGATGATAATTGAAATTGCTCTAACTTTTTTTTTGATATTGCATTGAGAATTTTGATTTAGATCTATGAAAACGTGAGTTTTAGGACCAAATTGTTGATCAGAGAAGAAAGATGTAAAATTATAACTGTATTTTGTGTTGAATTGGGCAACACATATAAAAAAATATCATTATTAACCCATGTATATTTCTTTTACTATTAGTCTTATTCAATGTATTTAATTTAACCATCCAAAATTAACAAAATCACGTATAAAAAGTAGATAATATTTTCATATGTATTGTGTAGAAGGTAGAATTATACAGAGTTTTTTTGTTAGCTCAAATTATCAAAATTATATTTTGAAATATTGGATTTAATTAAACACTAAACTTGTCAAATGACCGTGTTTAGAATTTCCTGTATACAACGTTACTGTAATATCCTTTGTTTTTACATGAAAACGCAAAAAAATGTACATAAAACGATTCTAAATAAAATACCGCTCACGGTAGGAATACATGAAGTGTCGGTAGGTTTAGTGATAAATCCTATGCAACATTATTTTGAAGTTGTGTATATAATAAGTATATTGTGAATAAGATGACCACACGTCTCGTTTTTGTCGGGATAATCCAGATTTTTAACAATTTAACCAAAGTCTCGTTCTTTTGGAAGAAATATAATTTTTACCACTGTATAGCAT